ACAAAACTTATAGTCTTTTGTGGCTGCCAAATTCCTTATAACTTGAAGACTCCAAACCAAGTCTTGGATAAGAGTCATACACGGGTAAGGCACCAAAAAATTAGCAAATTGATGAGTCCCACAAAGGAGGGAAACCCAACAATTCTCCCCCTCCCGACTTATGTGGAGGATTCGACCATTCCCGCCAAAAGTCGACACTTCTCATGCTTGTCCTTAGTCAATGCCTTAGTTAACATATTCGAAGTGTTATCATCAGTGTGAATTTTTTCAAGTTGTAACAACTTATCATTCAAGACATCACGAATCCAATGATATCTAACATCAATATGTTTCGATCTCGAATGAAATGAAGAATTCTTGCTCAAGTGGATTGCATTCTGACTATCACAATGAAGGACATACCTTTCTTGTTTCAAACCCAACTCTTGTAAGAATTCCTTCAACCACAATAATTCTTTGCAAGCTTCAGTGATGGCGATGAACTCAGCTTCTGTGGTGGAGAGAGCAACACATTTCTGTAATATTGATTGCCATGCCACTGCTCCCCCTGCAAAAGTAATCAAATAACCAGAAGTAGATTTTCGACTATCAACATCACCAGCCATATCAGAATCTGTGAACCCATCAAGAATAGGCTCGCCTTTACCAAAACACAAACTCATCTTTGAAGTGCCCTGAAAATACCTCATAATCCATTTCACTGCTGCCCAGTGTTCTTTCCCTGGATTAGACAAAAATCGACTGACAACCCCAACTGCGTGAGCAATATCCGGTCGAGTACAAACCATGGCGTACATCAAAGAACTAACTGTTGAAGCATAGGGAATTTTCTGCATCTCATTTTTCTTTTTATCACTTGTAGGACACTGACTTGAGCTTAGTTTGAAGTGGCCTGCAAGTGGACAATTAACAGGCTTTGCTTTGTCCATATTGAACCTCTCAAGAACCTTTTTAATATAATTCTCTTGAGATAACCAAATCAGCCCATGTGATCTGTCACAAACAATTCTCATCCCAAGAATTTGCTTTGCTGGACCCAAATCCTTCATGGCAAAGGACTTACTCAACTCTGACTTCAACTTGCTAATCTTACTCGTGTCTTGGCCCACAATAAGCATATCATCAACGTAAAGCAAGAGAATAATAAAATTACCATCTTTATATTTCTTCACAAACAAACAATGGTCTAAAGTGGTTCTTGAATACCCATTCTCACTCATGAAAGCATCGAATTTTCTGTACCACTGCCTCGGTGCTTGCTTCAATCCATACAAGCTCTTCTTCAATTTGCAAACTAACTGATCATTACCCTTATCTTTGAAGCCCTCAGGTTGCTCCATATAAATTTCCTCTTCTAAGTCACCATGCAAAAATGCGGTCTTCACATCAAGCTGCTCAACTTCTAAATTCATACTCGCAGCTATACCAAGCACAGTTCGAATGGAGGACATATTCACAACTGGTGAGAAGATCTCATCAAAATCAACTCCCTTTCTTTGATCAAAACCTTTCACGACAAGTCGTGCCTTGAATCTCGGTTGAGAACTGTTCCCATCATTCTTTCGTCTGAAGACCCATTTATTTTTCAAAATTTTCTTCCCTTTAGGCGGCTTCACCAAATCATAGGTGTGATTCTCATGCAAAGACTTCATTTCCTCTTTCATTGCCTTGAACCATTCAGTTTTGTTCTCATGCTTCAAGACTTCTTGATAAGTCCCTGGCTCCCCCTGATCTGATATCATCACATACTCATTTGAAGAATATTTTCTGGATGACTGTTTTTCTTAGTAGATCTCCTTAACGGTGTCTGTGGTAGTGGCTCTTGGGGTGGTTGCTCCCCCTCAATCTCTGGCTCAACATCATCTTCTGCTACATCATCATGAGGTGTTTGCACTTCCTCATCAATATCATGAACAACAGAGGGATTGAGAGGATCTAAATCAACAAGATCATCAGTACTAGACTCAGCTGACTCAAGCTTGTCGATGTCTTCAATAGTCTGATCTTCCAAGAAAACAACATCTCGGCTTCTGACAACTTTCTTGTCAACTGTATCATACAACCTATATCCAAATTCTTCATGCCCATAGCCAAGAAATATGCATTGCTTTGCTTTTGGATCAAGCTTGGACCTTTCATCTTTTGGAATATGAACAAAAGCTCTGCAACCGAATACCCTCAAGTGATCATAGGAGACTTCCTTCCCTGTCCAAACTTTCTCTGGCACATCACCATTCAACGGAACTGAAGGAGACAAATTGATAAGATCAACTGCGGTCCTCATTGCCTCACCCCAAAAAGATCTTGGCAATTTAGAATGTGAGAGCAAACATCTGACTCTCTCAAGAATGGTGCGATTCATTCTCTCTGCAACCCCGTTCTGTTGAGGTGTCTTTTTAACTGTCTTTTCATGCCTGATACCATGATTTGTGCAATACTAATCAAATGGTTCAATATATTCACCACCATTATCCGAGCGAACACATTTCAACTGTCTACCTGTTTCTCTTTCAACCTTGGCCTGAAAAATCTTAAACACATCTAGAACTTGATCTTTAGTTTTCAGTGTATAAGCCCAAACTTTTCTAGAGTGATCATCAATAAAAGTGACAAAGTATAGAGCACCACCAAGTGTCCTGACTTTCAAAGGACCACATACATCAGAATGTACCAAATCTAAAACATGAGATTTTCTAGATGCAATGTTTCTACGGAATGATATTCTATTTTGTTTACCATGGAAACAATGAACACAAATTTTCAAAGGCGTACCTTTTATCCCCACTAGAAGCTCTTTCTTGGACAAAACTTGCAATCCTTTTTCACTCATATGTCCAAGCCTTCTATGCCATAAATCAGTGGATGAGTCATTCTCTAAGGTATTCACAACACCCTTGCAGATTTTTGCTTGCATAGTGTAAAGAGAACAAGTCTTCTTTCCTTTTGCTACCACTAGAGAACCTTTGGAGAGCTTCCATTTTCCATTACTGAAATTGTTGATGTAGCATTCATCATCTAACTTTCCAGCAGAGATTAAATTGAGTCGAATATCTGGTACATGCCTCACATCTCTAAGCAGCAATTTGCATCCAATATTTATTTCCAAGCAAATGTCACCCATGCCGATAATTTTTGACACATCTTCATTTCCCATACGGACATTCCCAAAATCACCTTGTGAGTAAGAAGTAAAGAAATCAGCCCGCGAAATAACATGAAATGAAGCTCCAGAATCAATTACCCAATCCGTCTCTTGGCCAATCAAATTAACGCTAGCATCATCACGGATAATTATGAGTTCATCATCGGTAACTACAGCTGTATCAATTTGCTTTTTCTCTGAATTTTTCTCTTTGTTCTGCTCCTTGAACTTGAGTTTTCTACATTCCCGCTTCATGTGCCCTTTCTTGTGACAATAATAGCATTCAACATCCTTTTTTGACATCGAGCTTGAACGACCTCTAGATTTATCACGGTTGTGCGGAACCCTACTCTTACTCCTGCCTCTCCCCCGATTTTCCATTACAAGTGCCTCGGAGTAAGAAGAACCTGATGATTTTCTTCTTGTTTCTTCATTCAACAAACTGCTGGTAACTTGACTCATTGTTACCACTCCATCAGGTGCAGAGTTACTAACTGTGACCACCAAAGTTTCCCAGCTTTCGGGAAGTGAACTAAGAAGTAACAAAGCTTGCAACTCATCATCAAAAGTAATTTTCATGGCGGCCAACTGATTCGCAATGCTCTTAATCTCATTCAAATGCTCTGCAATAGAAGTACCCTCCTTATATTTAGAGTTCACAAGCTTTCGAAATAAAAAGGCTTTATTTACTGCCGTCTTTCTATCATACAAACTCTCCAATTTGGTCCAAAGACCATGTGCAGATCTTTCTGTAGAGACATGATGAAAGACACTATCATCAATCCATTGCCGAATAAAACCGACAGCTTTCTCGTCTAGCTTTTTCCACTAGTCATCTTTCATCCCTTCCGGTTTGTCACTATCACCCTCTATGGGTCCATTCAAATCTTTACAAAATAAAAAATCTTCCATTTTAGTTTTCCAAGTCACCCAATTTGTGCCATTGAAACTAACCATACGTCCAACGTTGCCGTCCATAATTCACACACAGAAATATAACGAATCGGAACCGAATTAACCAATTGCTCTGATACCAGATGTTGGGAAAATAGGCTTTCCCACAAGTGTAAATCAATGGAAACAATATAAATAAAATAACAGAAAATAAATAAGCACACAAGATTTACGTGGTTCCCTCAAATAACTTGAGGTACATCCACGACGACCGGTAGGTCAGTTTCTTCCACTATCACCAAATCAGATTACAAAGTGGCCAAAAGGCATAAACCTTACAAACACACCAAGGTGTAAATCACAAGAGGAAAATACCTCACAAAATAAGTGAACCAAATCTCCAAGAACAAACCGCAAGAAACCCAAATATCAAGTGAAGAAATGTTACCCACTTGAAGAACAAATTTGCAGATTTTTCTGGCACCAAAAAGGAGAAGAAGAAGGCTGAATTTTTGTTGAACCAAAGACTGCCGAAAAATATGTCTTCTTGCCAAACCAACAGAGAAAAGATGAACAAAAGAAAAGGACAAAACTTATAATTTTTTGTGGCTACCAAATTCCTTATAATTTGAAGACTCCAAACCAAGTCTTGGATAAGAGTCATACACGGGTAAGCCACAAAAAAATTAGCAAATGATGAGTCCCACAAATGAGGAAAACCCAACACGTAGATCTCCCACCATGCATACATTAATGAGTGTCCACTCATGCATAATAGGTCCCAGTTGAATTCAATGTACGTAATCTTCAAAAGAAAAAATAGAGAAAAAACGTATTTGAGGAGATTTTACCACTGTTATTTTACTTTCTTTTGTTTTTTAGGATTGTGTTGTAAAAAGAAGTTTGAAATTGTGTATAGTTTTCTAACATGTTTCATTGATCATGGCAGTACACGTTAATGGTTATGCTTGCTTGGACCCTAAGCTTGTACGAGCTGATCATTTCTTTTATACTGGGCTTGATGTCCCTGGCAAGTGGCAACACTTCAAACCCTCTTGGCTCGAACATAAACCGACTCACCGTGGATCAGATTCCTGGACTAAACACCCTTGGCATTTCAACAGTGCGTGTTGACTTTGCACCAGGGGGTGTTGTCCCTATCCACAGACATCCACGAGTCACTGAGATAGTTACAGTTTTAGAAGGCAGACTCCGTGTTGGCTTTGTAACTTCTGCTCTTGAAAACCGGGTTTTCAGTAAGATTCTTGACAAGGGAGATGCGTTTGTCTTCCCTATGGGGCTCGTGCATTTTCAACAAAATGTGGACAGTGGAAATACTGTTGTAATCGCCTTCTTGAGTAGCCAAAATCCTGGTGTCGTCGCCATTGCTAATGCTGTTTTTGGATCAAACCCACCTATTGATGACGCCATACTAGCCAAGGCCTTTCAGGTTGACAAGACCAGTATAGAAGATTTTCGATCCCAATTCTACTAGACAAGCACAAGCACCACCTGGGCTGCCGGTTATTTAACCATGAAAGAACCTGTGCCCGTGCTATGCCTTTGATAAACGATTGTATTCAATTATTCAGAATAAGTCAGGATTTGTTTTTGGTAAGTTGTATTTTATTCTCTTCATCCTCTAAGGCACGTACTTGTTTTGTGTGAACCTATTACTCATTGGATTGAGACCTTTACACATTTGAATCTTGAATTCGATCCCTACAAGTTGTTTAATTGGCCCGATCCCCTTGTCCTAAGAAGAACGCTAGAAATCACTATGCATAATAAAAACCTCAGTGGTGATTTCATTCTCTTACTCGTGGATATACACATGCTTGTATCATTTTGAGGGCATTCGTGTGACTTTCCTTATTTTTCATATCATATTGGCATCAGCTATAGACATTGTTCCGAATAGAATATTACACTTAAAAAAAAAATAACAATTGAAAATAATTTATGATACAAAGTACCAATAAATATAAACCCACTATTCAAAAAAAAAAATCAATAAAATAAACTCTAAAAACACGATTTTTGGACAATATCAATTTACATACACAATTTAAATGATCAAAATAATAAGAATACAAATTTTTATTTAAAACAAATAACTCACGTTACAGTCTTTCATAATATAAACATCTCCAAAATGCTTTTCCACTCCAGTAGATAATTCGCATCACTCTGTTTTCATGGAGAATTGAATAGAGTACCGAAAATATTAATTTTTTTTTGATATATTTTACTTGACTTAGAAAATTAGAATAAGTGGAAATTATATTCTCATTATCTAACATCCAATAGTCCCCAAACTCAAGCTATTATGTCTCATTCTCTTTGTATTAAAAAAACTAAAATTCCATACTGCAAGCATTAATCCAAAAATTTAAGTTACATAATACAAAAAAAAATCATTCACTCGATTAAATCATAGATGAAAAAAATAGCTTACTTGAAATTCTAAAATCAAATGTGTCCCTTTAGTTCATCGGCAATGAATTTAAAAATCGCCACTATAAAATCCAAATGACAAATATCCAAATACTAAAGAAAATATATTAGTTACCACAGAAATGAATGAATTAAGGTATGCGTAATTTGGGAAAAATATGTGTCTAATTTGATGGGAGATTTGCTTCTAAATTAATGGATGAATATGAAAGTCAGGGGGCCATAATTGGAATGTGTAAATGAAAGAGCATTAATTTGGAGCAATTAAAAATAGAATGTGTCTTAAGTTGGAAAATAAAATTCTCCTGTCAATCTAATCTGTCGAATCAATATTTTTGAATTAATCTGAGCAACAAAAAATTAGAAATAAAATAGATCTGAGCTATAAAAAGCTTAAGATAAGTTTGAGAATTTAAACTTAGCTTTACTTTATTATAAATAGTTCATTTTTATATATGTTGTTGTTCTACTATTTGTAGAAGAACGAATTTGCCCCCTTTCAGGTAATTGGCATCATTTACTGTCCAAAGTCCAAGCGTATGAGAATAATTCTCTAGCAGATGTAACTATGGACAATGTTATAGGGATTTAATTTGGGGACCTAATCTCGGACTTAATTCAATGTAGCTATTGAATGAGTTGTGAATTCTACAATCAGATGGAATCCACTTTTACTTTAATATTTGTATTAAATTAAGTCCAAAAAACAATATTTTACAAGAAAACAAATCAATTGTAATTGTTGCATCGAAAGTGCGCTCCATCATATCTTAAAACTTTGTAACTAATTTAATGTCTGTAATAAACTAGGTCTCTATAGCATTCCTCAAGTCAGAATTATTATCAGATTATCAAGATTGGTCCAACTTTGTCTCCTCAAACTATGAAATTTGTGTTATTTTGCCCTCTAAATAATTGAATTTATCACATTACCCCATCGATTACATAAATTGGTTCCACATTCTCAAAATACAAATATCTGTTACTTTTAGGACAAAAAATATCAATGTGTCAAGGCAAATGAAACAAAATAAAAAAGTGGTGGGAGTATTGTAAAACTACTAACCATAGTTGAAAATGTAACATAAGAAAGATGATTGTTGGTTAACAAAGTAACCACATACTTTGAAAATGTCCAAAGCTGACTCTCACGACATTGTTGGATTATGAAACAAAAAAAAACAATCCAAAATGTTTGCACTCGCTTGATTGCCTAGTGCATAGCCAACCATGTACTAGTACTTTGTTATCACTGACGATAGAAAGATGTTATTTTAGTGTAATTTAAGGATCTAATTAATTACTAATATTAGATTAAAAATGAGTTTCATCTAACATTGATACATTAAAATAGATTTTTGATTAATTTCCAAAAAAGAGATAAATGTTCATTACATTTTCACTCAATAATAGATTATGTACTATGTACAAGGAGCCCTCAATCTATATCATTGCTCTTGACGAATATCATACAATTTGACCATCTCTAACCTGAATGGTGGCTAGGAATCTAAACCAAACTAGTATGTCCAAAACCAAATCCAACTGAGAGTTGATGCCAGCTTATAGCCTACCATTCCTTTTGCCGGCATTGTTTGATCTAAATTATACAAAAGCAGTTGCTGTAATCACAATCTCATCTTTGTCTTATTCTTTAGACGGCATTACTCACTTAAAATTCATGCAAACTCATTTATCAACTGTTCGATATAATAGATGGAAAGTTATAGAACCAAAAAATAAAAATAAAAAATAAAAAATAAAAATAGGAGTGATAAAATTTTTACTCTCAACGCGGTCTGCTTCATGTTAGGATAGCATGTAATGTAATTTGGCCAGTATTTTTATATCTAATAGCCAAGGCCACGGCCAAGTATCATAAAATACTTTGTTCAAGTCGGTTATTGTCAAATATCATACAATTTGATGATCTCAAACCTGATTCCCTGCTTGGAATTTAAACTAAAAAAATATGTCCAAAATTCAGAAAGATAAATGGACATAAATTAATCGACGCAATATAAAAAATATGATAGTTGAGGAGAGAAATTGACATAAAACTCAATGTTTAAAGGGGCAATGTCTAAAACCGACTCTCAAGACCTAATTGAAAAATGAAAAAAAGGCAATTATGTTTGGACTCACTTATTAATGAAGTACATGGCCAAGTATGTTCAAATCCAAATCAGGCTATTATGTTTGGACTCACTTATTGACCAAGTACATGGCCAAGTATGTTCAAATTCAAATCAGATCTGTGACAAATATTATATAAGAGTAATAATGATAGTGGATCATAAAAAATTAAGATAATTTGTTGATATAATGACGTGTCAAGTAATAAAGTGTGAATGAAAAAGTTCAACAGTTACTGTTATAATAATACTATTGAATCATGTTACTGCTATTTCATTAGAGCATCTCCAACTTTGATTCAAATGTAAACTTAAATTTAAATTTGAGTTTAAATAGCCTAAAAAATTTCACCAACCTTAAACTCAAACCTATATCAAATCAAGACAAAATTTATTTTGCATCCAAATTGAAGAAGACTTAAATTTTATATCAAATTTCTAACGGTAACATTTTAACTTATCCAAAACAAATTTTTTTTTTTGACGACTTGTTCTCTGCCTCTTCTTGCTTCTTTCCACTATTCTGCTTCTATAACCAACGACCATCGAAGATTTTACAAATCATTTGAAGGCTTGAATGTAATTTTTTTTTTATCTTCCATCTTCTTGATTTATTATATTTTTCAAAACCCTAATTTCATTCATCTTTCATATTATATAAACTCAAAGCCTATCCATCAAATTTTTCTTTGATTTTTTTGAGTTAAACACTATTGGTAATACAATTTTAAGCCATTGATTCTTCCTAAAATTTTAAGCCTTTGCTGCCCATAAAATTAGAAAATTCGTCATTTTATTTCTTCAATCTTCCATTTTTGTTAAAAACGTATTTTTTTGTGTTCTTCAAACCAAACCCATGTCAAAATAGTTATATATTTTTTTTCTTTATCCGAATTTATAAAAAATGATAAAGGATTAGAACAATCTTATAATTCAAGATTGGTTTCTTTATTCCTAATTACCCATTTGTGGAGAGGTATAAAAGTTTCATTTATTTTATCAAATATCATGATTTGAATGATACAAAAAAAATGGGTTTTGGAATAGTAAGAAATTTTTTTAAAAGATTTGAGTAAATATTTGAGTTTGTCCATTGGAGTACTCAATACTAAATCAAGCTTTTTACTCAAATTTAGACTCAAATATGAGTCTAAATTTGAGTCATGGTTGGAGATGCTCTTAGATTAACAAATTAAGTTTATTTTTAGGATTTTTTTGGCTATGGGTACAATTTTTTGGAGATATTTGAGAAAAAAAATATATGAATAAATTGTTTACTCTATTAAGTTGTATGGTAAAATACTTTGTTCAAGTTGGTCGTCGTCAAATATCATAGAATTTGACGATCTAGAACCTGATTCCCTGCTTGGAATTTAAACCAAACAAATATGTCCAAAACTCATAAAGATAAATGGACATAAATTAATCAATGCAATGTGAAAAATATAATTATTGACGAAAGAAATTGACATAAAACTCATAGTTTAAAGGGGCAATGTCTAAAGCCGACTCTCACGACCTAGTTGAAATATGAAAAAAAGGCTATTATATTGACCAAGTACATGGCCAAGTATGTTCAAATTCAAATCAGGCTATTATCATTGGACTCACTTATTGACCAAGTACATGGCCAAGTATGTTCAATTTCAAATCAGGGCGATTATGTTTGGACTCACATATTGACCAAGTACATGGCCAAGTATGTTCAAATTCAAATCATATCAGTGACAAATATTACATAAGAGTAATGGCAGTGGAATATAAAAAATTAATATAATTTATTAATATAATGATAGTGTCAAGTAATAGAATGTGAATAAAAATGTTCAACAATTACTGTCATAATACTATTGGACCACGTTACTGCTACTTCATTAGTTCAATAAATTATGTTAATTTTTAAGAAAATTGCTACTTAGACTTAAAATAACGCGCTTGTTCGGAGCTACCTTTTTTAGGTGAAAAATTAAGGTTAAAATTTTTTTGCAAAAGAGTCAGATTTAAAAAAGTCTCAAATTTGAAGTGTTATTTAAAAAACTATAAAAATTTGAAAACTCCGTTTGTATCAAAATAAAAAAAATAATTACATTTATGTATAGATTATACATAATAGTTTTAAAAATATGAATTTTAAATTTTTTTACATCACTAATAATATTTTATGAATATAATAAACTAAAAAATTATATGTGACCTACGACAAAACTCTAAAAAGGTAAAAAAAAAAAGCTTATAAAATCAATTTTTTGGATCAGCCTAATTAAGTTTTTTGGGGTCTAAAAAACTACTGTATAATTGATAAAAAAATCAATATACAAACGGACCTGATTTACTAAATCACAATTATTTTACTCAAAAACCCTTAAAAGTTACCAATTTAAGTTAGTTTCAAACAAGTTCAATAACTTAATTTGTTGACTTAATAAATCACAATTATTAAATAAGTATTGAGTTTTAATAAGTACTAAGACCTACAATTACATTAATAAGAGTAATTGATCAACTCAACAAATTAAATCAACATTTTAAATCCATATAATATTGCTTGATTTCTAAATCTATTACTCATCATACAATTTGACAATCTCAAACTCGATCGCCGTTAGGAATTTAAGCCACCGATAATGTCCAAAACCAAGAGACAACATTTCAGACAACCCAGCTTACAGCCCACTATTCCCTTTGTCGTGATTGTTCCGGCATGGTTCTATCTACCGAGTACAAGATTATCAACACAAATAATTAGCCGTAACACACAGTCTAATATCATTGTTGTGACTGTAACAATTGAACTTCTTCATTAAAATTCTATCAGTTACAATATTATTATCTCAGCGATTTAAATCAAATTTTTAGATCCAAGAACATTACTCTAGTTATTAATGAAAAATGGAAGGAAATGGACTAATATAATATCTATATTAACATACTTACCCAAATGAAAAATAGAATATTTCCGTTTGGTACGACGAAAAAGTGGGAGAATAAAAAGTTGGAATGATGAAAAGTTAGAGAGATAAATAAAACATCATGTTTGGTAATGAAGTAAAGTAGGAAAGATGAAAAAGTGGATGAATTAACTTTCTTTCCAACTCACAAAAATCAATCCCTCCAAAATAGGAAAAAAAGTGGATGAAAAGTTAATTATTTGTGTTGATATGTATCTTATATTGTCTATATATCTTATGTATACCTTAATTTCATATAAAAATACAATGGTAAAATATGTATACATATTTTAAAAAATTTTAAAAATTAATTTTAAAAAAATAAAAAATTAAAATAAAAAATAAAAAATAAAAAAATAAAAAATAAAAAATAAAAAATAAAAAAAATAAAAATTTTAAATTAAAAAAAATAATTTTTTCATTTTAACTAAGGGTGAAAATTTTTGACTCAACATAATGACACGACTCGAACTCGATACGAAAATAAATAAGTCAACTCGCAACTCGACATGATACAATTAGTTAAATGAGTTAAGGTAGGTTTGATTAATATTCGACACAAACTCGTAATGACTTAACACGAATCTGACACGACACGACTCGACTCTATTGTCATCCCTAATCTTAGGCAGCACAAAAAAAAAAATAGTCATTTTTATTTTCCATCCATCCAACCAAACACAAAGAAAAGAAAACGTATTCTTCATATTTTTCATCATTGAAAGATAGAAAGTGTATCTCTTTTACTTTTCATTCTCCCTATTAAATGGAGCATAAGGGATATGATCTTTATTTTGATACATAAGCTTATTTTTCTTATATTTTTCCGTCAAATTTTAGGGGAAAGATGTTGGTGTGTTTGAAAAAAAATCATTCACCTATACAGATTTATCTTTCTTTCTGCAGTTTTCTTTTTAAACCATGTACTACTTTCTATCCAGCCCTCTCCATTTCTGTCCGTCTATTTTTATATTCTTTCCATTTTTCTACCCTACCAAACCGACCACTAATTTTGTCAACATCGTGAATTCACCTACACAGGATCAACAAAGTTTTACACATTTAGGTTTTGAATTCCTATGTCGTATCTACAAAAGAAAAAATAAATTATGTTTTGTTTCTTGTTGCTGCCGATTTGTGGCAGATGCCATCCATGCATTAATTCAACCATGTGAAAACTAGACGGCACTGTATCTTCCCAGCTGGATGTTCTTAATTCCTTTGCTTAAACCTTTTCATGCCAGCCCTTGGAATTCCCCATCTATATAAATAGCTAATGCAAGCACTAGTTCTTCACATCTCAAAGTTAATAGCTTTTAACAATATCTACAAACCAAGGATATCCAGATGGCAAATCCCATTGTGTTATTGAGTTTGCTAGCTATTATTTGTACATTTGCCACTGCCTTTGAGCCTAGTCCTTTGCAAGATTTCTGCGTTGCGGATTTTAATAGTTCAGGTAAGGACTCGAAAGAAGACTATATTTTGCTTTGCCATTAACTTTTAGATTGTTCAAATTTCGGCTCATATATTCAAACCGAATTCAAAAGTTTAAGCTCGAGCTATTAGTTGTCAGTTTCGATCATTTTATATTATCGCTGTTATATTTCATTATATAATCAATGTCAAACTTTATTTTGCTTTCTAACTTATTACATTGATTATGGCAGTAGGAGTAAATGGTCATGTTTGCCTGGACCCTAAGCATGTGCAAGCTGATCATTTCTCCTATAGTGGGCTTCATATTGCTGGCAACACTTCAAACCCCCTTGGATCAAACATAAATAGACTCACCGTGGATCAGATACCTGGACTAAACACTCTTGGCATCTCAACGGTGCGTGTTGATTTTGCACCAGGGGGTGTTGTCCCAATCCATAGACACCCTCGAGCAACTGAGATAGTCACAGTGTTACAAGGCAGGCTCCGTGTTGGTTTCGTGACTTCCGACCCTGAAAACCAGGTCTTCACTAAGATCCTTCAAAAAGGAGATGTGTTTGTCTTCCCTATGGGGCTTGTGCACTTTCAACAAAATGTGAACAGCGGAAATACTGTTGTGATCGCGTTTCTGAGCAGCCAGAACCCCGGTGTCACTGCCATTGCTAATGCTGTATTTGGATCAAACCCACCCATTGCTGATGATATACTGGCCAAGGCCTTCCAGGTCGACAAGAGTATAATCGAGGAGTTTCAATCACAGTTCAACTAGATGAAAAAAGTTATTTCTTGAGAAAAAAATAAAGCATGTCTTTCTGCTATGCCTTTGAAGAACTAGTTGTAACCCCTTTGTTTGTATTCATTTATAAGAAATTTGTTTTGCAGCAACTCCTAGTTTATTCTCTTCATGTTCTTATGCAATTACTTGATTTGTGGTTTAGAAAGGAACAGTTTACTCACAGGATTGACTTTAGTACAAGAGTTGTACTTGACTCACACAAGCCATTTGGCAACTCCTCATTCTTCTTCCTTTAGGAGTAGTCTAGACATATTGTGGTATATATTTAAAAAACAAACCTCCATAAATGTTTGATTATCTTGAATTTTCGAACCCCTAGCTATGGCATCTCTTAATGTGATTCTCTTAGTCTTCATTACAGAAACTAACCTACATGCCTTGAACTCTTAGATCATCTTGTAAGGTTTTAAAAATTTCCCATATGCAATATTCGACTTGAACAGATATGACATTACAAGATAAAATAACCCCCTTTGTAGTCCACATTAACGGGATCAGGGAGAGGTAGATATAGCATTTGACACTATTTTACACAATGATGTTATCTGTTTGAACTCATAACCTTAAGTTAATAGGCTAGAATTTTAACTAATGCGCACGTTTTTTTGAAAGGCTGCACTCATGGCTTAACAATTTTGATTTTACATGCATTACCTTTGTTGGGAAATATCGCAGAAAATTGGTTCATACGGCGACGAGAAAATAAATAAATAAAATAATCAAAACCAAAATATCAAAAAAGAATACCGATATTTTACGTGGTTCAGTAAAATTTCTCCCTATATTTAGAGGTATGATCCAATCACCTTCTTCACTGTTGAGAAAAAATTGAGTACATAGTACAAGCATCATTGTTCAAATTTTATATTCCAAACCCGGGCTGTTTTATACCTTTGTACACCCACTCAATTCTCACCCACCGAATATGAAAAATACAACAGAGAGCTTTATTACTGGACTCTCACGACACACTCAGATTCTGAGTAAATCTTCGGATGCTTTAAACTGAAGAATGCACTACCTATTTATAGTCAAAATCTTGATGGCATAACAGTAAATAAGTGGAACTTTCAAGGCAATGACTTAAGGCCAAAAATCAGATTTGTAGAAGCTTTGTCTTGCTTCTTTTCACTTCACTAGAAACTCACAAGCTGCTTGGAGGAAGAAGACTTTGTCTCAGATTCGGCGCCCACCGACAGCCCACACTAGCGCCACCTGCAGCCCATTGACAACGACACCACCAACAGCCCACACCAGCACTGGATTTCTTCTGTCGAGCTGTGCCAATATTGCCTTTGAGCTATCAACTGCAACAATCTCCACCTTGGCGAGAATTCAATGACCTCTACTTGAAACATTAGGTCTGTATTTTGATACAGATGCCCATTTCTACACCTTGGGATGTTCTATGAATCTAACAGTGCTAGAGATTGATCAAGTTAAAACAATGCTTAAACTTTTATGAAGTGACCGCCTTCGTCATCATATCAATTGCATTGTTCTCTATATAAACTTTTAACAAATTCACCTTACCTTCTTTTACCCATTCTCGAAGACATGATATCTCATGTCAATGTGCTTTGTCCTGGCATGATAAATTTGATTCCTAGCCAAATGAATTGCGCTTTGGCTATCACAATACAGCTCCAAGCTTTCTTGCTTCAATCCTAGTTCCTTGACCAAATCTGTCACCCACAAAGGCTCCTTGGCAGCTTCCACCGTTGTAATGTATTCCGCTTTAGTTGTGGATAAAGAAAGAGTTGATTGAAGCATAACTTTCCAACTAATAGATCTACTTGTAAGTGTAAAGACATAATCTGGAATAGATCTTCGTATGTCCAGATCACCTGCATAGTCTGAATCAGCATAGCCCATAACCTGTCTTGTTTCATCTTGTCTCTGATACATAGCCCATAACCTATCATGTTTTGGGTGGTTTGCGAACTAAAATGACCTTATCAATGGATTATTGGTTAAATTGTGTAGTAAATGTTTAGCCCAAACTCTATCTAGTTACTATGGTAAGTGAAAAGAGAAAGATAAGAGGTGCAACCGCCAAGGCCAAAAATCTGAATGCGCCCTAACCCTAGTTTCACCTTTTTTTAAAAAAAATTTGTTGTCTTTATTAAATCGGGTTTCAACCCAAATTCATGAATTTGCAACAAAGTCAATTTGGGTCTTCAAGACCCCATGACTTTAACCCAAGTAATGGCCGACTTCAACAGATTTGGAAAATTTGAAATTTGGGAAAAAAATTTGGACTTAATTGAGCTAAATTACATTATGAAAACTTAAGTGCATTTTTTGAAAAAAAGACTAAAAGACCATTCATTATTCCATTACTCTCTCACTCTCTCTTCCTTATTTTTTCTCTATCTCTCTTTGTTACTCTATCTGTCCCCTATTCTCTCTCTCTCTTTCTCTCTCTATCGCTTACTCATTGATATTTTATTTTATTTTCAAATATGTACAGATTTGATTTAATTTTTTCGTGTAATTATTTGGTGTAACTGTTTAGTTTATTAAAGTACATAAATAACGGTTTGATGTATTGAAGGACAATTATAACTAACTGGTATAATTGTGTTATTGTAACGTTGATATAAAGAGAGAGAGAATAAGAAGAGAAAGTAACAGTGACAGAAAATAGGGGTGAGAAAGTGAGAGAGAGAGAGAGAGAGAGAGAGAGAGAAAATAGGGGAAAGACAGATGAAAAAATTAAATCAAAGCTTTACATATTTGAAAAAAAAATAAATTATCAATTGGTAGAGAGAGAAAAATATGGGAGAGATCGAGAGCCGTGAGAGAGAGAGTAACTGTGTGAGTATAAGGAGAGAGAGTGTGTGTGAAAGAATAAGAATTATGCATAATTTAAAGAAGTGTAAATAAGTAAAATAAATAAAAAGTCATTGAACTTAATAAAACAAATAACTTATATCCATACACTTCATCTCAAATAACTCTAAAAAAATATATCAACATGCAAAAAATCCAACAAATTTTGCATGACCTGAATGTTAAAATGGCACCTCTACATGAAATAGGGACATCATTATTTTTTTGTCTCCTGCTTCATTTAGTTCAAGTTCAATTTATTCAATATTACTTTCTGAATTTCTCCTCAAAATAAGAAAAGTTAATTGCCACCTTGCATTCATTTACATGAAATAGGAGATATAATTTTCCCTTAATTCGTTCAATATATATAGGAAGAAATGGAAACACATTAAACTTGTTACGGAAGGAGATCAAACAAAACAAATAATGCCATTAAATAGTAGAATATTCGAAACAATAGCAAAAAAAAACAAAGTAGAATATTCGGAAACAAATAAGAAAGAAAGATAGATACCACCCTCGTGCAATCTTATGAAAAACAAAGAAGCCAAATCTCCTTCATGGTCTTTTCCGCTTGCTTTAAGGTCAAGTTTAGAAAAAAAGATCGAGATTGGACTATTTAACGAAATAGAGATTTGAAATATCGATTTTTTTGTTGGTGATATGGAAAGTGCTAGAGTTATTTGTATTTACAGAACAAAAAGATCATGTAATTTTATTGAGGTATTTAGTGCTTTGAATTATTTAATTTAGTGTAATTTGTTGACATTTACTGAATCACGTTCCCAAAAGTAGGGACAGTCATTACATCAATTATTGGTAAACTTTTTAGATTATTCAATTCTAGTAAAACTCTTATACAAAATGCACATTAGAAATCCCGAAAGTATTCATACCCTATCAAAATCGTACCCTTAATCTATTATTCAACCCTGACAATCAAACAATAAATATTACAAGCAAAACTAAATAAACACTATCCACATTAAAAACAGCAGAGTTTCATTGCCCTGTTGACCGTTGAGCCAGTGAATATGAACCACCATTATTCCCAACAAATTCACTAGTCGAAATAACTATAGGCTAGTGACGCTCAAGTCGTACTTTTATGTACTTTTTTGTGTATGGGCTCAAAGTTGTCTGCCTTAATCATGAAAAATAACTTCCTTTTAAGAATGTTTAGAGAAAAATTTTTGAGGGTTTGTGTCCAAATGAGTCAGATTCTCTGGATTGGTTCATACCTTTAATATGTTTACTGTGTTTGACCATTTAATTAATTATACTTTGCCTCTGCAAAATCAGAGGTTTGTGTGACTTAGACCTTTAAACTATTCAATTTCTCACATTGCCCCTAGAGAACATAAATTGGTTTTACATTGTTGAAAATGTAAACATCTTTTTTCTTAGGAACATAAAATGGCAACAGGTCAATACAAATGAAATAACATCACATAGTTTGAGAGTAAAGTGAAATAACTTTCCATTCAATTTCCCATGGACACTAATCATTGGGACGGTTTGAAACTATAACTATATCTATATAATATAGAGGAGTCATTTATGAATTCCGAAGATAAAAAATGGCTGAAATAGTTTTGGAAGAAAACAAAGCATCATTCGACGGATGTGGTAATCCTAACTTATTTTAAGCTATTAATGAATCAAATCATCTTAGAATTTTTGATCCAAAATACCATCTTCCAATGGGTGCCTTTATAATGCCATCAGCCCTGGTAAAAGTCGTTGGTTGGTTGAAGGAGCAGGTAATAAATGGGCTTATTCTGGCATGAGACAGAACAAGGATTGCACCTTGGACATAGGCCTTTCTTGACCATATCAAGCTTCTCTTTGACTGCATCTGAAAAGTCGTACTTCTTCTGGGGATCTTTTTTTGAAGAATTATCTTCAAGGGAAGCGCCCTTTCAATTACTGGGCTTCTCTACACCACTCACATTGCCAATGCTTAAGTAAACCTTCTTTCATGGGGTTTTTGATTGCCCAACCTCCACCATGTTAATGGTGGTAGTCTTCTGAAAAAGATCCTTATTGACTCCCATCTCTAACTTCCCTTTGTTGCTGCGAAGATCAAATGACCTTTAGTTAGGCCATCCTGAATAACGTTGCGAAAAACTACACAATTATTAGTAGAATGACTCCGCAGATTGTTCTGTTTGCAATATTTTCTTGCTCTTTAGCTCTGTGGCCACAAGAATCTTCTGACCAAACGATAGTTTGATAATACCATCTGCAAGCAGATGATCAAAGATCTGATCAGCCTTTGAAATTTCAAAGTCGTACTTCCGATTATTTTTATCATCGGCTCCCTTGTCGGTGCTCGACGAAGCTTGCACTTGATCCTCTGAGGCCCTAGCTAAGGCCTTGTGGACATGTGACCATTTGACCACTATCTTCGCCATGTTTACCTTCAGCTTCTAATTTGTCTCGACCATGAGGATCCTGTATTGGGGTCTCAGAAATACGTACCCTTGGACGTATTTTGTTGATCCAACTCATCCCGTAGAATCTACTCTTATCATGTAGCCTATGTTGCCAACTCGAACAGTTCGTTGAACTGCATTCTTTAAAATTTCTTTCAGAGCTCAAAACCTAAACCGTTATGTGTAATGGACACGTACTCCATCTCAGGCAAGGCATACCTACACCTGTTCCTGGCCTTTTTGCAGTGTGCTATGTACAGTTCCACGATTTTTGACATCATCTAGTACAATCTGGCCAAATCTGCCATGGCCACTTCATGATTTGAGGTAAAATTAAGCATGAAACTCGTCGTCCAATTGCTGCTAGCGTAACACGGAGTTAGATGACAAGGAAATATACCATTTAAAGGCCATCCCAGTCAAAGCATTAGCAAAAAGCCTCAACTTTAGAAACTCATTAGCCCTCGCCTTGCTGCATTATACGGTAAAATGACCAATATGCTCTACAGTTGACTAACAGTCTTCTACTGAAAAAGTTAAAAATACTAGGATCTTATAACCTCGAGGATACTCATATTTCCTATCTACTTAGTCAGGGTATGCATTTCGATATGTCGGCTTGGTAACGCACCTCATGACAGGGCTGACATATTCCTGGATGATTTCATCCAATTGGTCTCTATTTAGAACAATTGGCGGCTGCCTTCTTTGCCCCAAACTTGGGATTGAAGGTCATATCCTCCTGGAAAATATGATTATTGATTCTTGTTGGCACTGCACTGCTTCTTAAGCATCTATGGTTATTTTTTGTTGATATATAAAAAGAGAATATCTAGGTGTAATGGATGTATTCATACCACCTTAGGGGTAAAAGCCTTTGGGAAGCTGATACACCCCATTCTTAGTCTAGGAATTGGTCAAAGCTACTTAAGCTTAGGGACATAATCATGCCATTTTTACTATACATCATTGGGAATGGTGAAAACACCCATCTATGGCAGACAATGAAAGAACCATCCCCCAGTCAAGGCTTCCTAAAGTTAACAAAAAGATTGACAGTAACGTGTGGACATAGCCACTCATAAGATCTGAGGAGCAGCTGGATATTGAAAACACTATGCCTAGTTATGTTCCTAACAAAACTAGGGAGCACATTATCAAATGGATGCCTAACGACATTAGCCAAGAAAAGATTTCTATCCGGGAAGAATCCCAGATGCCTTGCGATAAGGAGACCCTTTGAAGTGATGGTCTTATTAGTGGGGGCTCCGGAGAAACTATAGTAGCTACCCTTCCATCCTCTGCCTCCCTACCTCCCTTTTCATGAGATTAAGTAGTTGGTCAACAAACCCATGTCTCAGCCTTACTTGTTTAAAAAGAAAAGTGGCTTCACGTCCATGGTACGTGTTAAAGACTTTTGCTTATTATTAGTATTAGTAATAAGAATAGTTTAGTCATTCTCTTTATTTATGTTGTATTACTATATAAAAAGGCTTCCATATATCTTATTTTATGTTCTAACAGATTATTGTAGTTGTAATATTTTCATCCTTTTATCTCTTCCCTCCCCTTTGTTTTGGTCAATCTTATATGATATCAGAACAATTAAAATACAAAACACAAAAATCAGTACATTAGTGTTCATCAGTCGAAATGCTGATGTCAGCAACGAGAAGCCACTTGCGACATTCTTCTGCTCTAATTTTCATGGATAACATCGTCATACTATTTGTTTTTTATTTTGGGTTCAGATTGTTGGACTTTGATTTTTTAAAGATTTTCACCAATTTTTTTGCGATTTCTGCAATCTTGAAACAAGGTTGGATTTCTTAGAGTTTTCTGGTTCGAATACCTTCGGTCGGGCCTGGTCGGTTTTTAAAACGTTGAGCAGTCTTGTTTTATACAATTACAGCCTAGATCATGACATGAATTGATATTATGGTCAAGCAATCACTGGAAAGAAAAATCAATGATAGTGGTGATATCAAAATTGAGCTTTGTAGCTGTAGTCTTCTACATCTGGGTCTGGAGGGAGAGAAATAATGGTCTATTCAGCAACAAATTCACTGATAGGGCAATTCTGTTACAGAATATTATGGACATAGTGAGGGAATCACATTGCTTTGGTGAAGTTCAAAGCATCCCCAATGAACTAGCAGTTTCCGCAAACAGGAAACCTTCTAAGCTTCTGCTTAGAATGAAAAGTTTCTCTGGTCGTAAAAGGTCTGTGGCAATGGATTTGGATGGAAGTTTGTGCTCAAGGTCTCCACTTCCTTCTAAATTCGATTTTTTGGGACCTATCATTTACATACGAACTGGTTTTCTTGTTCTAGCAAGGCCACTGTATTTACCTCATGGCATATTTATCTTTTGTTTAACTTTAAACGTAGCAACTGCAATACACCATGTCGTTTTTTTTTGAAAAGGTCATCCCTGTACTTGTACACTCACCGTTATTTTTTGATCAATAGAAATTGCACCGTTGGAAAAAAAAAAAAAATTCTTATCTATCTTGACTACAACCCACTAGTTTAGCACCTGAGTTCAAATCGGCCGTCATTAGTATTTTGTCCAGTGCTACATTTAATTATGTTTTTATCAAACTCAGCTGATTCAATATTGTTTTTCGACTTTCTCCCCAAAAATAAGAAAAAATAATTGCCACCTTGCATTCATTCACATGCAATAGGAGTAATAAAATTTGGTGCAGATATAATTTTCCCTTAATTCGTTCGATATATATAGGAAGAAGTGGAAACACGTTAAACTTGTTACACAAGGAGATCAAACAAGACAAATAATGCCATTAAATTTGTAGCATAGTCGAAAACAACTAAGAAAGAAAGACAGACACCACCCTCGTGCAATCTTATGAAAAACAAAGAAGCCAAATCTCCTTCATGGTCTTATCTGCTTGCTTAAAAAGTGACTTGAAGGTAATCAACCACATTGTTGTCCAACTGGAATGCTTTGGCGACCATATCACTCGGCAACGGCGGGTTTGATCCAAAAATAGCATTAGCCACAGTAATGACACCAGGATTCTGACTGCTCAAACCAGAGATCGAAACGGCACTTCCATACCCCACGTTTCTTTGGTAGTGAACAAGGCCAACTGGAAAGACAAACACATCGCCCTTTTGAAGAACTTTTGAAATGAATCGGTTTTCAGGGTTGGAGGTCACAAACCCAACTTCAAGTGTCCCTTCTAGGACTGTCAAGATCTCTGTAGCACGAGGGTGCATGTGGGGAGACAGAACACCCCATGCTGCATAGTCAATCCGAGCCAGAGAGATACCAAGGGTGTTCAATCCAGGTATTTGAGCCACATTGACTGGAGTAACAATGGAGCCAAACCTGTTGGATGTATTGCCAGCTAAGTGAAGCCCACTGAAGGAAAAATGTGCAGGCTGCACAAATTTGGAGTCCATGCATGCACGGCCATTAACGAGGACTGTCAACAGACATACAAAATTTTTTTGTAATGGGGACGAAGTCCAATCGGGTTATAAATTATAATAAAAGAGATCAAGAAGATTGAATAAAATAATTATGAAAAAATGAAAATGGTATGAAGAAGAAAAACATGTTAAAAGCCTTGTATTTGAACCTGGACTTGTAGTGTCTGCGACGCAGAAATCTTGCAAGGGACTGGGCTCAAAAGCCAATGTCAGAGCACAAGAGAGAGCAAGCAAACTTAAAAACATCATGTGGTTTGCCATCTTGATTATGAAGAAGAGCAAAAGAAAGTAGAGAAAGGATGCTGTAAAGATCTGGAATTGTGAAATAAATAGATCACAATCTCTCTCTATATAGGAGGGGTGGGTTAGACAAATGGGACAGAAAGAGGAGGGAAGAAGAGGTCTCCACATGAATAAGATATGTTGCCGTCTGAAACATAAAATATATGTTGAAAAGGTCAAAAACATATCATATATAGTGTAAGCCGACTGCTCGCAAAAAGTGCCATACATGTGGTTCTTCAATTCATATTGTCAAAAACAAGAACACAATAACTGTGTTGTGCAAGTCTTGAACAGATTTTTATTAGACTTTTCCCACGTTAAATACACAATATAAAAAGAAGAAAAATAGGAAAGGATAAATACAAGGAAAGCATAAATAAGAGAAAGTCTAATCCTACTCAATTTCTATACAATTACAATTCTTAAATAAATTGTATTGATAACTGTCAACACTCCCCTTCAAGTTGGAGCATGAAGATCATGAATGCCTAACTTGCTGAGAAGAAATTGAAATTGAACTTTACCCAAAGCTGTGGTGAATAAATCAGTTAACTGAAGAGAGCTTAAAACATGTCTGGTATGCGGTAGGCCTGACTAGATTTTTTCTCTAATCAAATGACAATCCAATTCTATGTGCTTAGTTTGCTCATGAAATACCAGATTGGCAGCTATATGCAAGGCTGCTTGATTATCACAATATAAAATAGCAGGACGTATATAAGGAACACGTAACTCATGTTACAAATAAAAAACCATGTCACCTCACATGATGTACTCTCATATTCTGTGCCTCGGCAGATGACCATGAAATGGTTGTTTGTTTCTTGGTTTTTCAAGAAATAAGAGAACTTCCCAACTTAATGCAGAAACCTGTAGTGGATCGTCGCGTCGCGTCATTGGACAACTAGCCCAATCTGAATCACTATAAGCTTGAAGCGTAAAAGAGCTTGAACTTGAAAACAAAATTCCTTGTCCTGGCGAACCCTTGAGATATTTTAGAATTTTTAGTGCAGCTTCATAGTGTAGTTGTCGTGGAGCTTGCATGAATTGACTTAAAGTGTGAACAACAAAAGTGATATCTGGCCGTGTAATTGTCAAATAAATTAATCTTCCAATTAGATGACGGTATGAGGCCGAATCATGGATGAGATCACCAGTATCATTTGATAATTTTAAGTTTTGCTCCATAGGAAAATTACTTGGCTTGGCCCCAATAATCCTGCATCAGATAGAATATCTAAAGTGTATTTTCTTTGGGAGATAGAAATACCTTGGCGAGAACGAGCCACCTCAATACCCAAAAAATAATTGAGAATACCAAAGTCTTTAATTTTAAATTTTTCTTGAAGGTAAGTTTTGAACTTATTGATCGCCTTGGGGTCATTGTTTGTCACAATTATATCATCAACATATACTAGAACTACAGTGAAGGAACTACCATGTTGCCGAGTGAACAAGGAATAATCAGCTTTAGAATTTTTGAAACCTGCAGATTGCAATGCAGAGGACAATTTGGCAAACCAATTAAGGGAGGCTTGCTTTAGGCCGTAAATGGATTCTTTAAGACGGCAAACCCGAGTCTTCCCTATTTGCCAAATCTAGGTGGGAGAGCCATGTAAATATCTTCGTCAAGGTCGCCATGAAGAAAAGCGTTGTGCACATCAAGTTGATGAAGAACCCAATTATTAATCGCAGCCACGACAAGAAGGCAACGAACAGTAGTCAATTTAGAAACTGGAGCAAAGGTCTCAGTGTAATCAATACCTTCACGTTGAGTAAATCCTTTGGCAACTAACCAAGCTTTGTAGCGTTCAATGGTACCATTAGATTTATGCTTGATTTTATAGACTCATTTGCATCCAATAGGCTTCTTATGAGGAGGTAAAAGGGATAGAGTCCAAGTGTGATTAGCTTCCAAAGCAGCAAGTTCATTAGATATGGCAGCCTGCCAATGAGGGTCATGTACTGCCTGTTCAAAGGAAGTGGGTTCTGTGGTAGCAGTTATGTGAGCAACAAGGAACGACGGGTGGAAGAAAAACGATTGTAAGAGACAAAATTAGATAAAGGATAGTGAGTACCTGAGGAGGGGAGAAGACCCGGGGACAAGGCGGACGAGTGGTGAGGTGGAGGGCCTGATGCAGTGTAGCAATGATAGTCCAGCAGATGAGCGGGAAGCTGTCGCGACCGGGTAGAATGGCGAATAGATTGGACAGGAGAAGTAGTAGTCGTGGTGGATGGCTGTGTATTAGAAATGGGACTAGAGGATGGAACAGTGTCATCTAGTGGAGACGATGTGGCTTGCTGGGGCGTGGTAATAGTGGGCTGTAATGGAGAAATGGAATGGGTTATTGGAGAAGGTGGGACCTGTTTGTTAAAGGGATTGGACGAAATTGGGTGGTCTGAGAAAGGAAAGTGTGGTCCAGTGTTCGCTAAAGTTTGCGAAGCCATAGGAAATTTTGTCTCATGGAATATAACATCGTGACTGACAAAAACTCGATAAGACTCGACGTCAAAAAATGGTATCCTTTCTGACCAAAAGGATAGCCAGTAAAAATAAAACGACGAGCACGACTATCAAACTTATTGGTGTAAGAAAGCTTGGTTGCGTAACAGAGACAACCAAAAACACGTAGATTGGCATAATTAGGATGCTTTTGGTAAAAAACTTCATAGAGGATTTCCCATGTAAAAGTTTAGTGGGCATGCAATTAATGAGATATGCAGCGGTAAGAACACAGTCCCCCCAAAATCGTAGAGGCAAAGAGGCATGAAATCGAAGTGCATGAGCAACCTCAAAGAGGTGACGATGCTTGCATTCAACGATCCCATTTTGTTGAGGAGTACCAACACAACTATGTTGTTGAACAACCCCTCTCCCATGAAGAAAAGCAATAAATTCATTGGAAAAAAATTCCCTGCCATTGTCATTACGAAATTGTTTAATCTTGCATTCATATTGGGTTTCGACCATCAGGAAAAAGGATTGGAGTAAAGCATCAACATCCGATTTAGTTGTCATGAGAAAGACCCAAGTGCAGCGAGAAAAATCATTAACAATAGTTAAAAAATAATGAGCACCACTTATAGAAGCCACCAATTGAGGAACCCAAATATCACAGTGAACCAAATCAAATATTTTATTAGAAGAAATAACACTATTATTGAAATGTAGACGGGACTGTTTCGTCAATGGACTAATGGGACAAACTAAAGATGAACTAAAAGAAATATGAGGTATGGATTGAGCTAATACTTGAGACCTAGAATGAGACGGATGTCTAAGGCGTTGATGCCAACTTCAGTGGAAACAGTAGAACAAGTAGCAAGAGCACGAGCAGGTGGCTGAAAAATATAAAGTCCATTGGCCTTTCTACCCAAACCAATCGTCCTCCTCGTGACTAGGTCCTGAAACACACAAAAATTAGGAAAAAATGTCACGGAACAATTAAGGTCTCTAGTAAGGCGACTCACTGACAAGAGATTCACATTAAAACATGGTATGTAGAGAACATTATGTAATGACATATTTGATGCTATAGTGACAGAACCACTAGAATGAATGGGAACAGTACTTCCATTGGGAAGTTTGATGGGATTTTTCTGAAGGGAGGACAAGGCCGAAAATTGTGCATTCAAGGAAACCATGTGATCTGTGGCACCGGTGTCTATTATCCAAGAATGAGACGGTAAAGAGAAAGAAGCAGCAGACACAAGAGGAGTAAGGAGTTTACCTGCAGCATTTGCAAAGGAATTGGCAGTACTAGTACCTTCATTGAGAAGTGTCATAATTTGCTGGTATTGCTCTGGTGTAAAATTAGGAACTTTGTCAGACTCAGATATGGGATTGATGGTATTTGCAGATAATTGAGGACGAGGACTTGCTAGTGTTGGGGGTTTTGTACAACTTGTGACCCTCGGGATAGCCAATAATTTCCAACATGTATCAACAGTTTGCCAATTCTAGATTGATGAGACTTCGACAATGAGAGCAAATAGGCTGCCTTCCCCGTTGACAAAAACTTGGTCGGCTCACATTTTTGGACGTGAATGAAGAGGGTGACGGCATTGCTGTGAATGGAACTATTTGGCTACTTAGACTATTATTGTTGCTAGAGGCGAAAGTTCAGCGAGTAATCATGGCAGCGGTATCCAAAGAACTATTGGTATCGGCGATTT